CGCATGGTTGCTATAAAGGAATGGTCACATGCACAACTATACAGCTCTAGAGTTGTGTGTGACCGGAGGGAATCAGGTGCAGTGCCAGTAAGGGGAACGTTCTGGGCGAGTTGCTCGCCAGAACTGTGGCTGTGACCGTGGAACATTCTGGGCAAGCTGCTCGCTCAGAAGTCCACGCTATCCGTGCGCGCGTGTACACAACACACAACAACAAGGCAACAGTCAAAGAATAAAAGGGGTAAAGTAGGTGGGACCCTAAGCAGGTGCTGAACCTGCAGTCTGGTGGCATCACCATCTGGGATGCTGCTTTAGACAGTTCTAGGTAGAACTGTTTTAGGCCTTTTTCTGCTTCGTATTTGACGTTTCAGTACTTCTTTGTCGCATTCAACATGGCAGAGGCTTTAATGAAAGTTCTCATCAATATGTTGAGAACTTCAAGGAACATGCCCTCATCTCCTCTGAGGAGAGTTTTGTCTCAGAGTCTTATTCTGAGGTCGAACGTGGGCCCCCCTAATCCATGAATCAAGCAGTCCAGATGGACTTCGTCGAATTGGGGACCTTTGCATCCTCAAAAGCAAGGAATCCCAGTAGTTCTGTGAACCACTGCCAGAACGATTCCATGTCGTTTTCCCCTGACCATTTCTTGTCAGGGAATGCCAGCCCATTTTTTAGGGCTTCAGGCTTCACTCCTTCTGGGTAAGGAGTGAGTATTCTCACTTTGGCCATTCTTATGGCCTTTTCGTACCATTTCTCCAGGTACTCCTCCTGCTCCCCTCCCTTTGTGGGGTCGCTATCCAATGGAGATCTTTCCTTTGGGGGGGATTTCGCTGGGGGAAATCTTCCTTGCAGCGTTTCTTTGGTTTCAGGCGAATTCACCTGAAGTTGTATTTGGATTCTCTCATTGTTTTGAGAGTGTGTGTTTGAGTTACCTCTGTGTTTGAGAGGTCCATCGTAAGTGGATGTTTGGCCGAACCTTTGGTACGTGCCAATTCTCCTCCTAATCTCTGAACAATGCCTTCTTTTGGCATCGTCTTCTCCTATCCTTGGGAGAAGGATCTCCTTAGGGTCTCTGTCGAGTTGCTAGTGTGCTTTCACTGGTAGTTCTTTTCGTGAATTTTTCACGAGTTCTATTTATGTCCTGGACCTTGGTCCAGGGGTGTTTATTTGTTTCCTCACTTTTTTGTGAGAAGTTTATTTCCTTCAGCAAGTCCATCTGTTCGCTGATTTTTTCAGTCAATGCGTCAATTGCATTGGCCATTCTTTCTAGAGTTATCTCTGGATGAGCCATACTATTGTGGTTCGTTTCCTCGATCTTTTTTTGGATCGAGTTTATCGTGTTTATTATGTGCGATTCCTGGTTTTCCAGGAGGAAGTTTGGTTGGGCGAGCAGTGACTCTCCTCAGTTGACATTATGGCTTCTGGGGGTTCCAGAAGGGGTTCTTGGAATGAATACTCCACGCTCGCTTTGTTTAGGCGAGGCCATTGCGGAGGGTGCTTCCCTTTCATAGAGGGGTCTGTTCGCTGGTTTTTCCTTACTTTTCCATAAGGCTTCCTCAGTGAACTCCCTCATTTCAGTTCGCCTCCTCTTTGTCAGAGACCAGGTTGAGACGAAGGAGTGTCTCCATAGTGGAGGGCTTCGGCCTCAGCGACTTGTGCCAGGAGCGCTGTGCCAAGTAACACATCCGTGCCCTAACTTACTACCTGGCAACCAGAACTGAAGGGGGTTAACTCTAGTCGATTTTATTACTGAAGTGTAACCTATGTACAAGTTGGATATATATATGGTTGCAGCGAAGACGGGTCCGCAAATGGGGGAGCCGAACGGAGCAGAGCTAACGGGGTTAATCATTAGCCAACTGAATATTACCAATGAGTTGGGTCGCAGGGTTAAGGAAAGGAGGGATAGGCCTGAAGGTGGGCTCTGCAGGGCAGGCGAGTGTATTGCCCAGCGGAGGCAGGAGTGCACTAGTGGACGTTGGAGCTGTCCGGAAGTCTTCAGGGCTCCGTACTTAGGGAGGCATAGGTAATAAATTGAAAGGAGGGGGTGGTGACCATCGAGGGGTACTGAGGGGATTGCGGAATACAGGAGCTCCGAGGTTAGTGAAGAAGGAGCAGAGGTAGACCGGAGGGATCGGAGGGACCGGAAGTCGATGGCTGGGGATGGATATGACAGGCTGGGGGTATGCGGTGCCTATTGGCATTGCAGAGGGTTGTTGGTTTGTGGCACTCATTTGTGCCACATGCATCATATAGTCCATGGAGCTTATCTGCACCTGGTGTCGTTGTTGTTCTGAGGAGCCTTGCTCCTCAGGTTGTTGTATCTCGATGTCCAGTGGCTTGTTCAGATCGAATCAAGGGTTGCCTCCCCAGAAACAACATTTCGACATTTCATTTCTCATGGTGGTGGGAGGGGATTTGGTTCTTGCATGCATGGGATTCACTGCAATTGTGTATGGTTTTACATGTGATCCTGTGGTTCACATGGTCTAGGCAAGTTACTTGCCTAGCCCATGTGATCTCTGGCACATGGTGTGGCTGTCTGGGCAAGTTGCTCACCCAGAATTTCTCACGCTCTTGGCTGTGGGCAATCACCCTTCAGCTTCACTTTTTCTGCCTCCATTTTTGGGGGTGTAGTAATGCTGATAGTTCCCTATCTTCTTTGATAGGGAGATTTTCTGGTTCCCTCACATTTTGTAATGTGAGGGACTCGTCCAGGTGGAAAAGGTCATTGCAATTTCCTAGGGGTTCCCATGTGGTGTCCCCTAGTTCCCATTTGACCTTAAACCAGAGTTCATCATGAACCCACATGTGGTTTAAGATTTTGCGAACTACTGCTTCACAGTCAGGGTCTTCCCCAAACTCATAAAATATGTTTACTTCCCTATTTGGGAAGATTTCTTGGTTGTTCAGCTTGTGAGGTGTGAGCTGAGATATGTGGAATATTGGGTGGACTCCATGTTGTTCAAGTTGTGGTGGCACTTGAGGACGTAGTTTGACATCTCTGGAAATGTTTCCAGAATATCATACGGCCCTATATACAGGGGCTTTAGTTTGCCTGCCCTTCCTTTGGACAGGTTCAACTTATCTGTGGATAAGTATGCAAGCTCACCTTTTCTCAAAGGCGGGTCTGGGCATCTTTTCTTATTCACCTGGATTGTTTGGGCAGTGTGATTGTGTATTATCGCATCGTGTGCTGCCATGATGTCAGGGCAATAGCCCTGAACCCTGAGCCACATGTTCACATGGGTAAGCAGGAACCTCCAGGTAACTGCTTACACACTACTGTAAAATACACACTCTTGTATCACTTACAGCTCTGTGTGCTGAGCTACCCTGAGACCTCACACTTTTTAAGTGTATGAGGTGTGTTTTACAACACAACCCACAAAAACTCATCAATCTTAACATCTGACTCAGTAGTGCCAATGGCACCTAAACACGCTGTAACCGAGAAAATCATCCCAATGTCACACAGGCTCACAGGGGGGGGTATGGGGCTTCTTCCCCTTGTGAACTGAGTCGCCGGTGGGACTAGGTCTGCACCTGCGGACTTCAACGCTTTGGCTATCTTCCGGAGGTTTTGTGTGTGTTCCTCCATATGCTTGTCAGACAGGGTGCAATTTCTGACGTGGTATCCTCTTGGCTCAGGGATGATAGCGTGCCACGTTTCCAACATCGCTCGCTTGGTGTCAATAAAAGTGGCATATCGGTGATCATGGAGAGAGATTCTATCCCTAATCTTCTCCTCAATCCCTGCCAGAATCTCTTGGTGGGCATACCAATATTCATCAGCAGTTAGGGTGTTGGCATGCATTGCCAGAAACAAAGCCCTAATACCTCTGGTGGCATTCCGGGTTTGATTATGTTCATATAAGAACAGATTGTAGGCATGGAGGACTTCAGGACTGTGTCCATACTATTGTGAAGTTGCTGCACTAGGCTGTCTTGCTGGGCAAGCTTCTTGAACAACAGATTGATGCGGTTTTGTCAGGGTTCAGCACCCTGCCCTAGGGTGCCCCAGACTCCCCAACCAATCCCTTCCTTCCATTCCTTCATTGTTGCCTTTCTGTGTTGTGTATCTGCGCGCACGGGATAGCGTGGGAACTTTCTGAGCGAGCAGCTCACCCAGAATGTTCCCACGGGTCACAGCCACAGTTCTGGGCAAGCAACTCGCCCAGAATGTTCCCACGCTTGGCACTGCCACCTGGATGTTCCCTCCGGGTCACACTACACAACTCTAAGAGCTGTATAGTTGTGGGCATGTGACCCATTCCTTTATATAGCAACCATGCGGGGAGATGAGACCTTTACCCTTCTTATCTCATGCCCCACATAGGCAAGTGTATATATTATCTTTCCTTTTACTATACATCTCATGTCCCACATAGTGTGAGGACAGGTTAGATGGGGGTTGAGGTCAGGGAACCTCCAAGTCCGAGGCCGGGCCCTGACAGGTTTTCGTGTGCATGTTTAAGAGTAGAGCTATGTCAGGGCAACCACACCTGACCATACAACCCCAGAACCACCTTCCCTGACCTCCCCCCACTTTCCTCATCCTCCCATCTTCACACACCTTTCGCAACTACAGCCCATGCGTGAACCCATGGGAAAAATCACGTGGGTCAAGGCGAGCAACTTGCCTTAACCCACGTGACACCTTTTGCACATCGCGGGAACATGCTTGGCTCCTACCCTTAGTCACGTTACAAACTGTATAGTACATTTCCCTTTTATAGTAGCCAAGCAGGGAATAGGGAAACTTACCCTTCTTCTCAACTCAATCCCTGCTTAGGCAAGTTGTAGTTACCTTCCATAATACATGACAACTCAATCCCCACTTAGTGAGTTTGAGGAGCTTGGGGTAGGATCCAGCACTTGGCTGCCTGGGACACCGCAAGTGTCCAGTTCTGAGGTATGGCCGCCCCCGGACAGAGGCCGGGCCCTGACAAGCTAACATCCAAAAGCTCGTCTACCTGCATGGTAGCTTGGCTTAGAAGGGCTCATAATTCTGGGTCAGTCTCAATGATAGGAAGATGCTGAGGACGTAGTCCTTGATGGATGGAAGGGTGCTTCTTGGGTTTATACTCGGGTGCCTTCTTGTCTTCAGCAAGTGTGGAAATCAAGGCGGGTATGTTCCCTGTGTATGTGGACGGTTTAGGGGGGGCTCCACTGTTATGTTTATGGGAGGGCTGGGAGCCTTCAATAAACGGCTTTTTGGTGACTGCGGGCTTCTGAAGGGGCGCTTCCTCTCTGAACCCAGCATGATGTTGCTTAGAACTAGACTCAGCCTCTTGGGACTTGGTCTGGGCATGCACTACAGACTCCAATTGCTTAACTTTGTCTTGTAATGCTTGGACAGTGTCATCCTCAATCCTAGAATGTTTAGGGGAAGGAGAGCGAGATCTTCTACGCTTACTAGCTCCTTGATGAGATGGAGGGAAAGGTTTACGAGGGCCTCCTCTGGCTGCACCTCGGCCTCTTCTGGTGGTGGAATTCCTGCCACTTCCTTCATGCACTTCATACTTGTCATCATGATAACTTTGTGGAGAAGTCTCCCATAGACGCTCATGGCAGGGGTATGGCGATCCTGACACGTAGTGTGCCATTGCGCAATCTAAGACAAAGTTGGTGTCTGCATCAATGCCTTCCCTTTTGGGATTCGGTTCCAGGGCTGCTTCAATCGTTATGCAGGCTCTCTCCCCTTCAGCGGGCTTGTCAGTCTGCTTGGTTTCTGCTGGTGGAATAACTTCTATGGTTGCATTGCCAAATTCCCCTTTGGCATCTGCACTGGTAGAGTCGGTAGTCTCAGCCGTGATTGGGTAGGACTCTTGGGGTATGTATTCCCCTTTCCCCCCCAAGGTAGCCACTGGAATAAGGTTGGCTTTCCATTGGGTAGACTTTTAAAGCGGACAAGTTCCCCTTCCTGGTCAGGGTATGTCTCATGTCGGTAATCCCAAAATTGGGCATCTTCCTGGATAAACCTCTCAAGATCCTCTTCGTATGTACTTGGAGGAAACTTGACTTCAGGATTTGTGGCTCTTTGAAGCATGCGCTTGTACTTTTCTTGCCAGTACTCGTCAAGTGCTTTGCCTCGCAATTCCCAAGGTTTGGGGAGACCTGGCTGCTTAAGGTTAACAGATAATGATAAATTGTTGGCTTCGCTCTCTTCAAGAATTTCGTCATCCTGTAATTCAACAGGCTTGCAGATGACGGGTTCCTTGGATTTGCGGTAGTGGTAGGACTTGATTCTCTTTCCTGCCACTGGGCATTTAAAGACAGCCCCATCTAGTTCTTGTAGAACAAAAGCGCCACTCTGGAGTCTCTTGACTATAATGTAGGGCCCGAACCAATGAGGTTGGCCTTTCATATCATGTTGGAGCTTTATACACTCATTAGAGACTAAGACAAATTCTCCTGGCTTGTAATTGTCTAATTTCATGCAGTGAGCATGGCACCAGTTATAGTCATCAGCGGCTTTCTTCCTAGACTCAAAGCTAGACTTTGCTGTGTGATCAAGGAATTCCTCCTTTTGACTAATTTGTCTGATCCGCATAGCCAGTAGCTCCTTGGTTGTAAATACCGAAGGCCAGTCTAATGCGTAAAATGTTCAATCTGTGATTTCAAATGGCATCAATGGATGTTGTCTGTACAAAAGAAAGTAGGGTGTGTATCCTGTGTTGCACTTAGTGGTGACACGGTCTGCCCACAAGGCGTATCTAACCAGGTCGGGCCATTTGTTAGTGCATCCTTTTAACATGCACCATATACTTTCAATCCATACACCATGGCCACGTTCAACTTTGCCATTGGAAGCTGGGTTATAAGCAGTGGTTTGCATGATGGGAATATTGTACTTGTCAAGTAGAACTTGAGTGGCACCAAGGAATTCACTCCAATTGTCTACTGTGAGCTGGATGATGCAGCCATATCTACACATGACTTCGAACAGAAATTTGGCGACAGTCTCAGACTTGATGTTCTTGAGAGCTTTAGCCTCTGTCCATCCGGTTAGGTTATCCGTGAGGTCAACAAGATACTTGTAGCCTCCCTTGCCTCGTGGCATCGCAATGGTGTCGGCATCAAACCATCTAAGTAAAGTCCTCACATATTGAGGCTGGATTGGAATGGTGTTCTTTTGCGTTGATTGCAACTGGCATTCATGGCATGTCCGGTAGTACTGTTCAACATATCGGTACATGTTAGGAAACCAATATGAGTCAGGAATCTTGCTAAAAGTGGAGTCTCTGCCTCAATGACCACTGCCATCATGGGCGTCTTTGACAATTCTCTGACAAATTTCTTTGTTGAGTACTACTAGAAGCATCAGCTTATCTCGGTTGCACTTCCACAATTTTCCTTCATACAGGAAAAACTGCTTGGCTCTGTTAAGAAGTCGTGCTGCTTCTTTCTTGTCAGTGGGCAAGGTGCCCTTGGTCAGGAAGGCAAGGATTGTCTTCCAATATTCCTCGGAATCATAGTCATCTATATGATGTGGATGCTTAGGTTGTCTGGATTCCTCAGGACTTTGTTCCTCAAGGATTTCACCTTTGCAAAAGTCAAATGGGCTACTGGAAATAACCTTTGCCTGGGCTGGCTCTTTTCAGCGGACCTCAAGTGGCGTGCACTCTGAGTACCCATGCAGCAATATAGCCTTGTGTCACTAATTTCGGAGTCTTCTTGGGAGTCAGACTGTTGGTCATAGTATTAGATCATGCTGTCTCCTCATCAGGAAGAGTGTGGAGAGGTTGGACAAGCTTCACCCCTTTGTCAACGTCTACTTCACCATCACTATGGTCTGAGTCATCTTCTGACTTCCTGTGCTGAGACAATCCATCAACGGCTTTGTGCTTCGTTGCAGGGACATGTTCAATGTCAAAGCTGAATAAGAGAATGTACGTTATCCAGCAGGTCATTGCTGCGTTTGGCAAATCGGGGGCATTTATCATTTGGATAAGCGAAATAGCATCCACTTGAAGCATAAAGTGAATGTTGTATAAACGGTGCTTCTCTGCCTTAAAGGCTTGTAGAATTCCATATAGCTCTAGCTTAGGCTGAGAATAGCAGCTTTCAACCGCATGGAATGTGATTGAACCGAAGACTGTGGGATATACCCTGTCTTCATAGGTTTGGTTAATAACCCAGCCCATGCCAATAATGGAAGAGTTGACTTGGATGGCAACTAAACCTAAGTTGCTCTCTCGCTGGTTCTTTGGCATTACTTGGGCAGCCAACTTGAAATCTAGCAATCGGATGGGTGATGCATTTACAGCTAAATCTTTTAAGATAGCCATTGCCTCTTCAGCTTCTGGCATCCACTTGAACTTGCGGGGTGCCATCTTCTTGGTTAGCTGTGTGAGGGGTTTGGCAATTTTGGCAAAATCCTTAATCCAGTGGCGTACTACTCCTATGGTCCCTAGAAATCCTCGTACTTCTGAGGGATTTCTACAGGATGGCCATTTGGATATCTTGGCATTCAGTTCATGCGAGATGTACATTCCATCTATGGACACTATGGCTCCTAGCATGGACAGGCAAGGTGTTGCAAGAACCATCTTGGTTCCCAACACTGTTGCGCCACTCTCGAGAATTCTGGCAAATAACTCTTGAAGGTTGTGGGCATATTCCCATACGAAGCGTCGGATTTGCGGGTTTTCTGGTAGACTCTCATACTTATAATAGGTTTTCAGGCCTTTGAGAGCACAATCATCAATGAAGACATCGGCCTTGCTGGGAATCATAGGCCCAACCATGTGTGTAGTTCTTTGTTGGAACTCTATTGGGGAATTGGTGTAACCTTGGGGTAATGTAGTCTGGTGCAAGGATCCCATGCGACTGGCCCCAAATGTAGTGAGATCTCTTGATGCTGGGGCCAAAGTACAGCTATCGAAGCCGCTTTTCAGGTCAAAGATGCCATATATGGCAGTGCCAGCAAAAGAATCAAGCATTTCATCGATTCTGGGTAACGGGGCAGAGTCTCTGATAGACACTGCATTGAGCGGTTGTAGATCATGTACTATGCAAAGAGACTTGTCCTTCTTCTCAATGGCAAAGAATCTAGCTCTATTGATGACTGGGAAGGCTCGTACTTCCCCACATCCATCTGTTCCTTGAGCATTGACATGATTTCTTCTGTCCTTGCCTGAGGCAGTCGGAGTGGCTTGATCTGCCAGGGCTCATGAGCGATTGTGCGCATAACATAATCTGGGTAGTATTTCTTGTTGAAAGTACCATGCTCAGCATCTGTGAAAGCAATAGCCTTCTCGTATTTCAAGAGGATGTGCACTAGTAGGTCAACCTCTGTCTTCGTGAGGAATTGAGGAGCCATACATGAAATAATGGCAGCCACCCTCTCCTCAGAGAGTCTGGATGTAAACTTGTTACTCGCAAACTCTGGTGGGTGAGTAGGTAATGGTGAAAGGTCCCCAGTCTCAATGGGAGCGTATGCAGGTACTACTGCATCTGGATCATATGCAGAGATGGGAATGACTTTCTTGCCAACTGGCTTGTATCGGGCACCCATTACTTCATGTGTGAACTGTCTAGATAGGCTTTTAGCCTCATTGATATGAAGTCCTTTGGCGATGCCAATGGCTTCAATGTGATCACTGATACTAATGTCAGTGGCGTGCTTGGAAATGAACCATGAGTCTCTGAGTGCTTTCAGCACAGTGGGATCTTTCATCTCATGGGATATTAGAGCATATTCTAGGCCGTTAGGCCTTAACTCTTTTAGTTTTTGCTCTGGTGCGGTCAATGCTGAGGTGATCTGCCTCAAAAATTGGGGCGTCTCTAGCGCCTTTGAGCTCGTGCCTGGCTCAACAGTATGAATGTCTAAAGCGACTGGTGCAGCTTCGGCATGTTTGTACGTGGATATAGGATAGACATTCCTCTTTGCAGTCATGATGGGTAACTTGATTTGGATGGAGGTGCCATTTTCACATTCCCCCTCACCCCAAACCTGAATAGTCATGCCCACATCATGCATGTATTCGATATGTGTGCTATGTCCATACAGTCAGGGTTGGCCTAGGATTATGTCTTTACCGTTTAGGTGCTCTTTGGAAATAAAGAAATTGTGCAGAACTTCCACACCTCCGATAGTTACAGGTACATTCCTGCAAAGACCTTCTAAGGGAACTTGATGACCTGCAACACCTCTGAGTGACCACATAGCTCCGGTCGGGTTGACAGGAAGTTCTAAGGCATAGGCTTGTGTCAGGGCACACCCGCCTGACCCTGCGCCGTGCCCCACACCGTACTGCCCTACTCCGCTTCCCCCGCTATCAGCCCCATCCCTCCTTCCTCACTTTTCCCCTTTTCTCTCTATTTCTATTCTATGGTTGATTTCCCTTTTCTCCATGTACCACTACATACCTAACCCCATTCCCCTGGTCGCTGCACGCGCCACGCACACTCCTGCCTACCGAGCAGCTGCCTCCAGGATCTCCCACGGAGACACCCGGGGGGTGTGGCTGTGCGTGGAGATGATGCGGCCTCCTCCACATGACCCTGACCGCATGTATATAATAGCACCTGGGGTGGGAACAGAAGAAGCAGCCTTCTTCTCAA